TATAATATAAAATAGCTTTACTCTTCAAATAACATTTATCTACAATTCAGATAAGAAGTTCACTTTTAATAATTATTAATATCGATATATTAAACCACCCTTTTACAACAAGCCCTTTTCGCAACTCATTACTCTAATTCTAAATCATTCCAACAAAGTACAAGTTTCCTAACAGGGCTCCTTGGGTTCCAGCGAACTAACAAAAATGCACTCGCGGTGCACATTCTTAAACCGAATCGTTCGACATACAAGCCCTTCCGGTGATCATTCTGCATAGGTCGTTCGGTTTTTCGAAGTGTCCCATTAGGGTAGCAAAAGGGATCCCATGCTCCCGACTTCAAGAGGTGGTATCCGATTTGCACGGTTCAGCGTTGCATGCGGTGCAACATTTTCACCGAACTGCAGCCGGGCGGGAGAAAGGGCGTTGCGGAAGGGAAAGGGAATGGGAAAGGGGGTGGCAGCGTGGGGAGGGGTAGCACCCAGCGTCTATGAAAAGGTCAAAGGTTCCAGGTGTGTTTGCGTTTCGTGTACTGGTGTTACAGGTGCAGCCTCTTCCGCAGCTCTGCTCGCCGTTGCATCAGCAACATGTGTGTTCTTTATTAACAACAATTAACATTTACCCATTGTTTAAAAACCGATACATCGCATCAGCTATTCATTTTAATGGGGCGCCGGCTGGCTCGCTGATCGTCTGAACGTCTGCCGAATCGTCGTCGTGGATTCCTGCAAGTCGTAAATCCGACATCCACGGATTTTGTTTATTGCATATTTGCAACATACTAAAAATGTTGTAAAATGGACGCGGCATTGTAACACGATGCTCGAGCTCTGTTACACGAGTGTCTTTATATATTATTCTACGTTATAATAATAAAATAATAATAATTCTTGAATAGCGTTCCTTTCGGTTTCATCGTTGCTTACGTTTGCTCGCGATTGGCGATTGCAGCATTCGTTACATTTCACAGAATGTTTATAATTTATTTTGCAATAATTATAAAGGACTGCTGAATTAATTTTATAAATATAAATCGATAATATTCATTTGATTTCATTGTTGATTACTGCAGGCATATTAATATGCTGCGTGCATAAGTTAATGATTGTTTTCTTGGAAATTCGTAATTGTTATAAATATTTAATATACATGTAACGATTATTATGCGAAATTGTAAATTTTATTGTTTCATCTCAATACAATTTATTAACACATTTAATTCTCTCGAAGAGAATTAAATTTATTGTCGATGGGATTGCGTTCTCCGTTTCGAATGTTTTTATCAATGAAAACTTTTGCAGAAAGTTTTCAATATCGTGTCGAATAATTGTTTGTTGTGCAAGTTTCGCGAACGCGATTTACAGAAAATAACCGGTTGATAAGGTTCTGCGATAGTAGGAGAGTATCGACAAAAATTGGTACCTCGTCTCGGCCCTGTAGTTGTAATGGCTGAGGCGAGTTACCATTTTATAATTTTCATTATATCGCAGAAGGTGCAGCACGGATGCTTTTGCAGTTCCACAATTCTTTATTCTGTCCAATAAGAATACGGTAGACAACTTTCGTTAACCAATTACAAGCAAATTATATTATAAATTAATATACCGATTTATTTTTCATGCGATTCTACAATATTATCATTTACCTCGGTATTCAATAAATTGTTATAAATTATTTATATAGTTCTATGGACTGCAAACCTAATCTACAAATTTATTTGTATAACAGACATTTGGAAGTTTTTCTTTACCAATGAAAATATAATAATATTTGTAGCGATCTCTCAAAATATCTTTCAGTTTGAAATTGTCTAAATTAATAGCTAAGATAATTCATTTTTATAATAAATAAGAAACAGTACATACTTTTATATTCTCCAGCTAATAAATTACTATAAAAATAATTTACCACAATTATATTCCATTATAATATTAGATTTTCAACCTCATATATACTAAAAAATCCGCATTAAATTTTGCAAAAGCGCCAATAAAGAAAAAAATATATTTTTGAGTTCTGCAGCTAATATATCAATAAAAGATATTTACTATAATTACGTTCTTCTATAATTTACAATTTGCGTACTGAGAATACCTCATTAAATGTTGCAAAATTATTAATAAATAAGGAACAATACATATTTTCAACTTATTTAAGTAATATATCAATAGAAACGATTGATTACAATTACATTCTTCTATAATATTCAGTTTTTGTATCCTCGTGTATGCTGTAAAAACTGCGTTATTTTCGTAAAAGCATTAAATGTATCAGTATACGCGAGGCCATTGTGATTCGCGAATCAGCCATTGCTATCGCACATTTCGCACGTCAGCGATTCGCAGTCGGCGAACCAGCAAGCAACTCCTGTTTTCCCAATCCAAAGATTTACCAGTCTCCGGTTATGTTTGATGCACCATTATGGTCTTGATTACGGTAGGTTAGTTGCATCGGTAACGTCACGTATCGTCGTGACACGTCATAGAAGTTATCGTTGAGTTTCTTCTGTGTGACACGTAAATACACCAAAGATCAAAGTATAATACGCCTACATTGCTCAGCCTGGAAGAGAATCAGCGGTCGACACGGGAACCCGTTTTCGCGTCGGTTCTACAGGTATTCTGTAATAGACTCGGGAAATGACACTATTCGGAATATTATTTGAAATAACATAGTATTTTATTTTATAATTATTTCTATGCCTGTGACCACTTTTGAAATAATATTATTTGAAATATTATTTGAAATAACATGTTATCTTATTTTATAATAGTGACCACTT